CCGCCGAAGCGTCAGCCATTTCTGGCCGGCAACTTTCAGCGTCATTAAGCCACTGCGCCACTGCGCCACCGCGTCCCCCTACTGAAATGCCTAATGGATAGTTATTTTTAATCAAGGTCAACTCACGTCAGTTTTCCAAACAATACATTTTCTTCATCAATACTTATTGACATAATTGGGCTCGAATGAAAGGTAGTCCAAACTGTGCCTGAGGAATGAAGACACTCTATACCTCGCTACAGAAACTCAACTTATTGGCAAGACAATAATTCTAACAATATTTGTATTGAATTATCATTAGAATTTAATAGAAACATTTCCTTGTGCCTTTCTGGGAATATTACAGAATTGAGGTGAATCAGCCTTTACTACTTTGCCTTGAAAGAGACACTGATCATTTTGAGATGCTCACTTTTGTTTTTAACACTGAGAATTTAGTCCTTGCAGAAATATGTACTTCTTGTGGGAAAAACCAGTAATGTTGAGGCAGAAATGTCTCTGCATTGCGTTACAAACCTGATGCCTCTTTTATAAAAGGATACAAATTCTATCAAACGCAACAACTAAAGAATATTAGCCGCATCCTTTTCCCCATGAATATATATACTTGATTTAATTGGCGTCTGTTAAAATCAATATATAAAAAACACCTTTAACTCTCCAGCAGTGAGGAACAGCATTAGAATGCAACATCTTAACAGTGAACATCAGACAATTTGATTCTGGCCAGATGAGAATAATTTCTGCCAAGTTACAAACAATTCCAGGCAGAGTGCATCTTGTCTGAGATTATTACCAAATATAAGTGTTAATGAGATATTCCAGGTCAATTTCAACCAATCCTCCTAGATCTCAGAAAGTTATCACTGACAAGCAGACATAAAATCCTTTGGCTACCAAGATCCAGTTTCATGGAGAAAAGTCTGTTAATGAAACCAAACAAAATCTCGGCACTGTTTACTTGGTTGAACGCAGCTCCAGTGCAAACTTTTGTTGGCATCAACTGGGGGTGGATTTGGACTCAGACTCAGCAGGAGCAATTCCCACAGCCCTTCACACTGTTGATTATTTCTTCTTGCAGTTTCTTCCTTTCCTCCTCTTTGGACATGTGATTGTTTCTCTCCTCCCATCTCTCACTGGTGCTTCTATTCATCATCCGGCTGCTCTGCGTGTGCCACATCTCATAGTAGAGACTGCTGGGACTGGTAAGCAGATCGATATGTTTGCCACGCTCTGCAACTTTCCCCTGTTTTAAAAAATCAGAAGTCCATGATCAAACAGCACTGCTTCTCTGGAACAAGGAGGCATCCGACCCATCTTATGAGAACACACGTGGAACACTCTGGGCTCAGTAGGAAAGGAGCAGCCCGTTAAGACTTAGGCTTGGATACTGGAAACAGCAGCGGGTTTCGAGCTAGAGGGCTGAAGCTCTCTCACTCCCAACCACAGTTTATTTCAGATCTTACTGCTCTAGGACAGGGCAGGAAACATATTTTTCTCTATCTTTTTCAGGATCTCACAATTGCAGAAGGTAGGGAGCTGGCAGCTTTGGGAAGGACAGGAATATTTGGTTCCTTTTTGCATTGTGGGATGGATGGGTGAGAAGTTTCATCAAAAATGCTCTCCCCTCCATTTTTTTTTTTTTTTTTTGGGCCACCAACTGTTGGTGGCACAATCTGGAAGATCGTCAAGAATTGCATAAATAGATCTTGGAAGCCTGAGCTACAGGTGAAGAGCTCTTGAAAGCCCAATATTTCAGGTGATGCTGCTAGTCCATCTAAATCTTCTCCAACCGGTGATCTCCAGATGGGTGGACTCCAACTCACAGAATTCTCAGCTATAGCCATGATAGCTAGGGAATTCTGGGAGTTGGAAGTTCATTTTTTGGAAGGGACAAAATTTGGGGAAGGCTGGTCCTTTGGGTTGGATTTTGCCTGCTACAACTGGTACATGTTTCCCAACATGTCAAGTGCATTTCCAGCCACCTACTATGCATCTCTTTTAAGTAGATACCAGGGATTTAACATGGTCTACCCACTTGCAAAAGCTGTGCTCAAGCACTGAGGGGAGGAAAAGAGAAGGTATTTTGTTAAGAAAAAGGAAGATGGTTACCAGATCCTGTTTCCAGAATGTTTGCCTATAATCCTTTCCAATGCCTCTCTTCTTATATCCCATAAACACTGTCACTATTCAGCCAGAGTTTAATTTACATGTGTAACAGCCAAGACTGTGGTGGACATGTGGTGGGTCTTCCCCATTCTTGACATGGAGGGATGGTGGGACTTTTCTTATGAGGATATGAGGAGAGGAGCCCTGGTCTTTCCTCTTGGTCCATGGACTTTCCATGCAGTATGGCAATGAGGAGAAAGGGTGTGGACCAACTGGTAGAGATTTGTTGGAAACTGGGGGTAGAAGTTGACACTGTTCTACTTTTAATCCAGGTATTTGTTAAAAACAGGCTACCTCACCCCAAATTAAAGAGGCCAATCATGGGAAAGATACCCTCATGATATCTCACCTGGTCCTTCATGGTTTCCAGATATAAAAACACACAAGTGTTATAGGTTGCCCAAGTAAATTCTGAAATGGGTGGGAATGGTTTTGGAACTTTTCTCTGCTTGAATAAAAACTGAATTGTGGCAGTTAAAATAACCCTCTAAATGTTGTTCCAGTCATTAATAACACTGCTTTGTTGGAAGGATACCAAAGCAGGAAGAAACAGACCAATCAACTGATAAGATGCTGGGCAAGATCAAGGAAGCAAGAAATGCATCAACTTCAGTAAGGCATATTAGGGATAAACAAACAATCTTGGAAAATACAGGAGGCATTTCCATACATCATTGAGATGGGGGTTCTCAGAATGTCCCTAATTCTTGCCACCTGGGCTGAGTTGCTCCCTTATCATCTCTTGGTTGTTTATGGATAACTTTCCTTTCATTAATCTCACAGCCTCTCCACATTTTCTCACACAAGGTCGACCAACCTGAACTATTAGCTTATTGTTTTTGAAATTTTCTATACTGCCTTTTCAAAATGGCTGAGTGGTGTACAATCTACCAGAAGCCACCAGAATTGTAAACCCTAAAATAGTTTTCACAGAGGAATTGATCTAAAGGGATTTGCCAGAGCAGTGGGAAATAATGCAGTTGCCATATATATATATTAAGAAAGCAACAAATGACCAACTCAAAATGCCAGATTCTTGTTAGAGGAAAGAGGAGGGAGATGGAGAGACATTCCAAAAGCCTTTTAAAACTTTCATGAATGATTTGAATTAAGAGTTTGTTATCTCTGGCTATTCCAATGTCTGGAGGTTACAATGACATCAGAAGCAGAGTTTTGATTTAAACTTCTGATTTATAATTGAAGCTTGCAGCCTCGCAACATCTGTTGGATGAACACAGTGGTAAATCAACGGGACTCTTAGTCATATTATACACATTTCTCTTTTGCTTTCAATCTTTTTTTTTTAAATCAAGCTCACAATAGGTCACTCTAATTTACTATTCATTGGGTTTAAAAAAAAAAAGGATGTGTTTGAAGCAGACAGCATGCCTTTCCAGCAGTTTTAGAGGAACAGAAAGCTTCCTATCCAGCAATGAAACTGGACAGATTGTCACCATTGTGTGTGTGTGTATAAATCAACTACTGATTCAGACTTTTCGTTGTACCCAAAACTGCAAATATTTACATTGTGCTGGGAAGAGGCCATATAATAGTTCAGTTTCTTCACCTTGTTCCCTAATTTATTTTAACGTTTTCTTCTCATCTTCCTTTTGCTGGGCTGGTTTGCAACAGTGTGAGCTAGCAGTTTTCTAAGTCGCCAGCATTTTATGAGCTAGTTGGGAGCCAGGCATGCATCAAGCCACCTCATTGAGATCATCACAAAATCTCTACTTCATAAGCGCTCACAGAGGCAAGACATTTAAGGGGTCCTAAGCATTCTCTGGCATTTCATTATTGCTAATGAGCCAGCTCAATTGGGCCTTTTAAAAAATCCAGTAACAATATAATATTTCCTTATTAGGCCAATACCTTACAATTGTTAAATTTCGTTTGTACAATGGACATGGAAAATACAAATGTAAAATCATGGAGGTGGCCAGAGGAACAGTGTTTTAGAAAGGATGGGTCAGAGGCAGCTTCACTAAGGGTACTTTAAAAACTAGCATTTGCATCAATAGGCAGGAGGCAGGCGTCCTAATTCATTTCTGTCTCTTCTCAAAATGAGACAACCCTCGTTTCGGTTGTACCTTGTTCAGTGGGTGCCAACATGGTCTCTGAATTAAAGGAACAGAGACTTGCATTGTTGTCATTTTCAACAAAAGAGGTTTATGAACACAGTTATGGAACTTCCTATGTACACGAAGTCTTAGCATTCCCACAACAGTATTCAGCTCCTCCCTGTCAGGGAACATTTCCCGCTTGGATCTGCTGGGATGCTACAGAAGCCTTGCGCTGCTGAGAGTCCCAATAATTCTAGGACGTTCTTACTCTCGAAGTTTCTACAAGCCAGCCAGCATGTAGGGAGACGATAGGCAAGAGGCTTCGTAGCATTTAAGTAAATAACTGTTTTATGCTTTCAGACCAGTGACAGGAATACCAAATACATAAAATATACAAGGAGATGACAAATGAATCCACAATTAAATTTTGTTGGAAGTTATTAGCCAGCACACAGAATTTAAATACTTTGCACGTAATAAAAGGCTGTTCTTTTGATAAAAGGTAAGAAACATAACCATCAGCTGAATGCCCAGGAAGTGGATAAGCAAAATCAAGCAATATCATTATAAAAAACTCAAGGAAGAAGAATATGGCCAACCCTTCCAATGGTTTCAGAGCCAAGAGGGAAAGGGCCAGTTCCATTATTAAAAGGAACACTTCTGAATCTACTGTCCAAAAAAGCAGAAGGCAGGGCCTGAGAAGATCTCCTGGAAAATATTTTCTTCTGTTTGGGGCACCGTTAAAACAGTAACCCAGGCTGGTTCCTACCTGGGTTCAGCCTTCAAGGGTTGAGATTTTCAGAACTCCGCCAAAATAATTTTGATAGCCTTCACAGAGACTAGAAACTCTGGTGAAAGACCAGATGACAGCAGTTTCCCTCAGCCTTCAGCCACCTCAACGGAAAAGCATCAGTAAATACAAAAAGCACCAGCCACCTGGGAGGAATATGAACTTGAACCTAAGTGTATATGTAATATATGAACACACCCAATGATGGCTTGGCATGATGGCTAAGGTGTAGCATGCTATGGCTTAGCGTGATGTGGGGCCTCAAGCTTTGTGTCTTTTAAAATTATTTTTAAAACGTTTACCACTTTTCCTCTTTAATGATAATCGTTGCAACACAATTTCTAGCTTTTCTCCTTGCTTGAGCCCAAAGTCACACTTGCTGCCCCTTTCTGATTTACTAATGTTGTTAAAATGAGGAAGTGAGAGAGGCAGAAACACTGGGACCCTGTTTTATAATGTGAAAATCTTTGCCCAGAAGACTCTGGCCGCTCCATTTTTTTTATGCCTGCATTTAGACTGATTTAGCCTGAAAGTGCACACAGGTATGAAGCAATAGCGGTGGCACACTGGTGGTGATAGGCAGGGAGAATTGGACTCCCAAGGCTTCACGTGGAGGGTGGCATCAGAAGACCTTTATTACAGTTATTGACCAGAGAAGGACACCAGACCAGAGAAGAGCAGAATAATTCAGTGGACGTAACTGATTTTTATTTTTGGTTAGCTTGGCTTGAGCACCTTTTCATCATAAATACATTAAAGAAATAATACACACATAAATTAATGGGGCAAAGTCTTAAATCAATCAAAGCATTAAAGCTATGCTAAAGAGAACCTGTTATATTTGAGGGCAAGCACTAATGGATCTATGGAAGGCAATCTGACCCACTCATCCTTAAGCATCTTTTCTCATTATCTAAAGCCCATTGCCATCTTGGTTTCCAGGGAGATCCGAGCAAGGAAGCCACAGGGGGAATGATTTAAGTGTGGGTGACACCTGACCTGGAATGTCCTTCAACCAGGGGCAGCTTCTTTTACAACACGACTCCAACTGGCATCAGTCATACTGTTTCATAGTTAAAGAAAAGTCACATTGATCTCCTGTATGTTATAATGTTCCCCAGATTTACTGGTTTGGATTTTTAGCTGCTGATAATTTATTGGGCACTATTAGGATTGTGTTTAATTAACTATACTGAACTGTGCTATTTTGTTTCTTACAAGAAGTGCTTACAACAAAACACAGCTAAAGCACTTTTTTCTGTGTTTCAGCCAACCACGCCCTTTTTCAAGGATGCTCCTCCCCTGAGGTTCTCTACCTACCACCTCCTCTTGACCATTCTCTGGTCACTGAACTTGCTCAAGTCCCCCTGTACTTGTGTAAATCTTGAATTGTTACTCATGGGTTGTGTAGCTTTCACTGGTACTCTAAGTTTGTTATTGGACTGTTAGCCACCTGTGGCATTTATGTGAAAAGGTGGGATAGGACAAATAGACATTAATGAAAAATTCTAGAGGCATAGCCAGTAACAACACAGAATGGTGTATCAAACCTACTGTTTAATAAAGGAAGCACCTGACCCCAAATAAATGTTCATAGGGTCAGGATCTAACTATCTACTTTTTCTTTCTTTTTAAAGGAAACATAATGTAGGTATGTGAAATATGTACCCCAGATTCCTGGTACAATAAAACCATACCAGATACACATTAGGGATCTAGCATAATAAGAACACAAAATCACTAGAACTTGAAAAGTGTATTATGCTCCTACCATCACTAAGCCACCAGGGAAACTAATTAATGATAATCCACTTCAAAACCCAACATGTTGTTCCCTCAATCCATCTGTCCTTCTCTGTCACACACTCCACATACAAATATGCACCCACACATCCATAACATTCCAGTATTTCAAGTCAAAAGCTTTTTAGGGAAAGGTGGCACTGGGAAATTCTGTAGCTGCAAATGACATTTGCAAGATTACCAAAGTTTCTTCCCATCAGAAAGGTGGGTCTCACCTGATCCAGGACAATTATTTCATCAGCATCAACCACTGTTGACAACCTGTGTGCGATGAAGATGGATGTTCTGTGTCTGACAATGTCCCTCATGGCATTCAAGATGTTCTGAAAGATTAAAGATAGGTGCAAGGAGGGGGAAAACTCATCTTAAAATAGATTAGCAAATGAGAATGATTTAATCACACATAGAAACAAGCTGCTAGCAATTCCAATGTCATAAACAGAGAAAAAAGTGGCAATTTAATGCATGAAAGTACATGCTATGACAACCTCCAATATCCCACAAAAAAGAGATTCCTTCTTTGTGAAGTCTCGACGTCCCAGGGGAAAAGTGAGAGGGAACTTTGGTTTCTAAACAGGAAAAATGTGCATGTTCCAACAGTGATTTATTTTTCGCTTCCTTTATAATATAGCAAGGCATAGACAAATTTTGCTTTCCCTTAAATACCCTTCTGATTGCTTGTTGCACACTTTGGGGAAAAGGAGTCATATTTTACTAGCTGCTTTTAAAGTGCAGCTGTGTTGTGTAAACATTCAACTTCATTTGACAACCTCATAATAAATATAGCAAAATGAACGGCAACAAACAAGTAGAATAAATAAGCTCGCTAAAAATTCTTATCATGATCAGTGAATGGAATCCAAGGAGGTTTTTCCTGACAGGTGCATCTGTATCCTTCCACACTTTAGAAATGACACCGTGCATCAAGCATCAGCAGTCAGACCATCTTATGATCAGAGGTCAACTGGTATGTCAAGTAACCTGACACAGGCAGACATGGTGAGCTTCTGCTGCAGACAAGAAGACTTGTTAGGGAAGTTGCCAGTGGTGCAGGCATCTCTGTATAAGATTATGAAGTTGCCACAGTGATGTCATGACATCTGTATCACAACACCCTGATGCTTTACAGCCCTACCTGTGAATGTAATTTGGTGCCAAGTGAAAGAATTATCCAGAGTCAGTTTTGCATCCCAGGAAAGATGCAGCAACAATGAGCATTCTATGGTTCTATGGCTCACATGCAAACATAATTTAGAGGACCAATTTTTATGAATATTAAGTGGCAACCAACTGCTTTCCTTCAAATTAAGACTTCACCTCTTAGAGTGAACAGGTCAAGCGATTCCAACTGCTCTACTTAATGCTTGTGAGTATTGTGCTATAATTTGTTCAGAAGTGGATTCATTTCTCCATCCAACTCTAGAAAAGCCAGTTCTCCCACTGTTCCACATTTGATCTCTGGGAACCTGGGATAACAGAATGCAGGGCTGTAATAAAGATGCAGGGGGTAGAGAAGGCCAGCCTACCTCTTCTGTAATGGAATCTAAAGATGAAGTTGCTTCATCATAGAGAATAATGGGAGGATTCTTCAAGATTGCCCTGGCTATTGCAATCCTCTGCTTTTCACCTCCTAAAAAAGAAAAGACACACACATGGACAGTCAGTGATAACGGTTTTTGCCTGGAATGACATTTGAAATGAAGGAAACTAGAGAGCCATTGTGGTGGAGTGGAGTTTTCTTAGAGAAAAGGGGGAATATAAATCTAACAAATAAATAAAACGATGGGCAACTTTTCTCATATTCTCTACACTCACCAGTGACGTTATCTTTGCTTCTACAACTCCTATCAAAACTCCAGACCATTATTTAGAGCCTCTCTACCTCATCTGACTCCAACTGCTATGAATTCTGATGTTGAGGTAAAACATTCATTTCTCATTAAAAAAAAAAAAACACTCAAACAGTGCAGCGCATTTTAAAAAAAAACAGCTATGAAACACTTCACAACCTGCCCTTCCAAAAACTCAGGACAGAAAGAAAAAACTGCCCCCACTCACAGATCTCGCCTGAAATGGCTCCAGCTTGCACCAACAGAAACTACAACAAAACCCAGAAGAACTTAGACCATTCGCACGTGGATCAACTCTGAGAGTATCACTTTGACCCCCAAAGATTTTGGTGCCTCGGCAGGTTCTCCAATATCAAAGACACTATTTGCTTCCATTTGCTAAGGCATAATTAGGGCCATTCTTCTAGGCCACCATGTTGCTGCATTATTGCATTATTGCATTTTTAGATGTACTGCCTGTCTTTAAAAATTTAAAGTCCATTTCAGATTTTGGAGGTCCCGAAAATAATTAATGGTTATATATACATCTGCCTTCTTGTGTTACATGCCAAAGATTTGACAAGCCTTCCATTTTAATGCTTTCATATTCCTGGTGATGTGCCCTTCTAACTAACACTGACTTGTTTTAGCAAGCCACTTTAGGAGGATAATAATCTCATTTCACTTTGAGCCTTAAGTGGCTGTCCTGAAGCTGAGCAATAAACAGAAATTGAACTATTCACCCAAGATGTGATTTCTGCTTCTCACTCTCTTCATAAAATGCCTACCCTGAAGTGTATTGTATTGGCTATTGCCAGTATTTATAGAAGTAATGGTTCCATAATGCAAGGTCTTGTCTCAGGTCTTCTTCCCAACCCATTTCAAAGACCACCCATGTCAATCTCAGGATAAATGTGAGAAGGATTTCTTCAGCTTGTTACTGAATCACAGTGCGGGTCTTGGAACAGTGTGGGACGAGCACCATTTCAGATCCAATAGAATTACAAAGCCTTTCCGCTTAAGAAACAACATGAATTCTGTGCATATAGCTACAGCTGCTTATACACTGTAAAACGACCATAAGCTGCAGCATCCCAGAATACACACATGCATTCAAAAACATTAGTGCAAAAGGGTCTCCTATGATAGTCACAGGATAGACACTTTTCCATAACAGGCCAAAGGTAGCCGTCTTGCACCAAAGTCAGCAAGTATATTAAATAAAAAAAAGGTCACAGCTATTACTGACCGTGATATGTCCAAAAAAGTTGCATAGTATTTATAAAGTCAAGAAAAACCAGGTGTTAAATATACTCCTAAAAAATCATTAGAACATTTCTTGACAATGCATTTCCAATAGCATGATAAAATAAAGGGAGAGGATTTCACCATCTGTAACGTTTACAATGGTTATTGCATATACTTGAGAAAAACAGGTTTCATTTCTACTATAGTGACCTTCCTGCAAACCGTCTCTCCATAAGTCAATGCTATAATTAAAAGTATAGCATTTGATTAAGAACAAATGGCCATTTCTTAAACTGAGTTACTGTGCGGCTGCAATTTCCAATTTAGAAACTAAAAGTCCAGCAAGAAATGAGAAGGACATTTACCCTAATAAATGCTGAGCCTATATACACAATGCATTATATAAATTATGAACAAATACATTCCTCTCCCCTTCCTTAGGTTTAACACTTAGAAAAGTATCAAAACCGACCATAAACAGATTTTCAATGGAGATCACGATCACAGATGTAACTATCCTGAAAGACTTTGGCACGTAACTCCTTGCCTAATACCAGGACGTTTCCCAGGTCACAGTCTCTAAGATAAACAGCTTAGCAAAACCCAGGGTCTTCTGACTCTAGCTATCAGGCATCTGGTGCCAACATCTACACTTTTTCTCAGCTTGTTCCTGTCACAAAGAGAGTGTTAGTGCTAATGCAGAAATGGGAATCTGCACCCCACCAAATGCTGCTGAGTTACAATTCTCAGAAGTCCTAGCCAACATGGAGAGTAGTGATGGAGAGTAGGGACTGTAGTTCATTTGGAGGACAAGATTTCCTATCTATCATCCAAGGCTTCATTGAGTGACGAGCTACATAGACCGGGGCAATATCCTTAGGAATTACAGACTGCCCCGGTCTATGTAGCTCGTCACTCAATGAAGCTCGTCACTCAATGAATTACAGATATTTTAAAATATCCTTAAGAGATATTTTAAAAACGCAACACATTTCAAAATGAAATAGTTTCCATTTAACCAGTGACCGCATGTTAGTGGAAGCTGCTGTTCCTTTTACAGGGAAGGGCTAACCATGTGAATATGAAGTCAGTTCCATGAAATATGCAGCATTTGATTCCGATGTTTCCTCCCATAGCTGTAACTGTACTGTGTAGGATGGAATCTGTTTTTCCGAACAGAACCTTCAACAGTTGGCACTGGATGGGAGTTACAATGTAGTCTTCTATAGTGTACAAACATACAGGTTGTCGGGCTCCAGTTCATCTGTGGAGTCATAGAGCTATACATGCTCCCAATAAATAACAATAAACACTTCTGTTTGTTTCTTCCTCCTACCTATCATTCCATACTAAACAGATTCACGGTGATACAAATTAAATATGATTCTTGTAGCACTGTATAGCATCTGCTTAAATAGTGGTTTTTCCCTTCTCTTGATCATATATTTAAGCCTTAGTGCCAAAGAATCTTAGAGTCTATTATCCCATAACAAAAATATTTTTTCTATAACACGGAACATTGATGCTTCTTTTGTGCTACCGAAGAATCTCACAAGGAAAATTAAACAGGATTACCATAAGTGTTCTCCATCACCATCGCCCTCATCCCCCTAAGCTAAATGCTTCCATTAAATATGCACATTTGCATCCAGCAAAGAGGCATATGTCAACCTTTAAACAGTTCGGACATCTCCAGCTACCGATTTTGATTCATATCAGGTGCGTCATGGAAAATCTTTACAAACTTCCTGAAGCAGATGCATGGACCGCAAGTTTCATGCAATCCCCCAGCAACCCAGAGACAACGGGTCATTTTTTAAGGGGGAAAAGTAGCAAAGATGAATGGTTGAGTACTAATTTTACTGTTTTACTACTTAACCCAGTCCAAACAGGCCTCTGAGATTTTGGGGGG